AGCCTACACTCAGTACCGTGTGTGTGTGTGTGTGTGCGTGTGTGTGTGTGTGTGTCTGTGTGTGCGTGCGTGCGTGCACGCACGCGTGCCTGAGGAGGAAAATCACAGCAGGACAGGCCTGAGTTCTCCGGAAAACATCCCTGGCCATCTGACCACCCATGGATGCATAGGGACAACATTATAGGGTGGTTTTTGTCTGTGGTATTTATTGAATACTGTGTCAAGTGCTGTGCTAAGTCCTATCCATACATTACCTTATTTCATCTTTACCGATGAGGAAATTGAGGCACAGAGGGGTTCAGTAACATGCTCAACTGTGCGCAGCTGGTGAGTGGAGGAACTGGGATGGAACCCAAGGGTGCCCGACTCCAGAGCCTTCAGCACGCACCAAAAACCCAGTGTAAATCCAGTGAAGAAAAACACACCCTGAAATCTTATGAAATCTATAGAATCAGTTTCCTTAGCTTTTAATGTAATCAAAGTCGCTATCAGATTCGAGATTTTTGCCTCTTTATTATAAATTTAGACACTTTGCCTGAAATATAACTCTTCAAGTCAACACTTACTGCTTTCCTTGACCTACTCCTGAAAAATACATTCTCCATCCAATGCTCAGCCTGAAAATAAACACACACACGTTTTTCATCACTTTTTAAAGGTCTAATGGGCTAGATTTGTTCTCACCTTTACTCATTCTCAGGAGTAGGCGATTTTCTAGACTCCAGAGGACATTTATTTGCTTCTCTCAGGTGCTAGCATATTCAGTGGTAGTAAATTAGGTCTTGAAAGAGGCCCATTCATTCTTTGGTGCCATTGTGTACACTAGCAGAAATACTTAGGAGTTTGAAACAACATGCTGGCATTCTAAGCACCTACCTACCCTGAGCAGCTTAGACCTAAAACAGAGACTTTTGCCTGCACAACACTTTCAAAGGATTTTGCGTTTGAAATGTTTTTGTGATCATCTATTTTTTCAGACTGGTGAAGGAGGTAAGCAATTTTCCCCATTTAAAAAAGGAAAAACAAAAACAAACAAAAACTGCAATGAGAA